AACTCAGTTCTCTTCTGGCTCCCATCCATACAGCAGAGTCGGTCTTAGCCGGTTCTAGGTGACTGCCAGCCCCTATCAGGAACTAACCGCTTTGTATGGAGATGCAAGACTCTCTGCTTCAGTTAATTTACACAATAGATAGGCACTATCCGTTCTTTTTAAATGCACCGCAACTATTAGGTAATGCTACTTTTACTAAAATCCCTTTTAACCCCTTCCTTCACTGGAGCATGTCCAGAGAAGTGCAACGAAGCTGGTGAAGGTCTAGAGAACAAGTCCTATGAGGAGCAGCTGAGGGAACGGGTGATATTGAAAGTGGAGAAAAGGAGTCTCCGGGGGGACTTCATTGCTCTATACAACTACCTGAAAGGAGATTGTAACGAGGATGGTGTTGGTCTCTTCTGCTGGGTAAGAAGTGATAGGAAGAGAGGAAACAGCCTTGAGTTGTGCCAGGAGAGGTTTATATTGAGTATTAGAAAAGATTCCTGCACCAAAAGAGTTGTCAAACAATGCAACAAGGCTGCCTGGGGAAGCAGTGGAGTCACCATCCCTGGAGATATTTAAAAGATGTATAGGCATGGTGCTTTGGGACATGGTTTGGTGCTGGGCTTGGCAGTGTTAGGTTAATGGTTATACTCAATGATCTTCAGGGTCTTTTCCAACCTAAGTGTTTCTGTTCTATGAAAATGCTCCTTTTCTTAAAATGGGGACAAGGCAACTCTTTGCAACATCTCAGAAATCCTTCCCAAATTCTGCATTCCCTTTAATCTCACATTTGAGCCCCGGTTTCTCTTCAACAATAAAAGTAATCATTTTCCAAACTGGGGAGCACTGCATTTTGGCTGCTGGCATCTCAAGGCCCCCCTCTCCTGTCTCCTGGAGCCCCAGAGCCCTCTCGCATCTCTGCCCACAGGAGGTCCCCAGCCAGCGAGCTGGCTGCCCACAGGACATTGCTGCCCCGCTGTTTGCTTCCCTCTGTCTTAGAAAAGAACTGCATGACAAGGTATGTTTTGGCAGGCAGGCACTGCCTGGCGCAGGGCCAAGGTTTATGAGAATGAGCGTGGTCGGTCTGAGAGTTTTGCTTTCTGCTCCTGCTGCCTTGTTTCCATCAGCTTCTATCATGTGGGCTGCCTGCTTAGGAGACGCCAAGGGACAGAGAATTTGCAGCCATGGGGGTGCTGAAAGGCAGAACTGAAGTCTTACGGCCTGGTGGTCCGGCATGGATCTCGGTGGTCCCATGTGCCCTGATGGTCTCCCCTGCCAGGGCTCCCAGCCTCATCCTCCCACTCCTGCTGGGTCCCGAGGCTTTAACCTCACAGAGCATTTGGAGAAGTGTTCGGAGACCCACTCATGGTGCTGGTGACAGTCGCAGCAGGCATCTGGGGAGGTGGAGCATGAGAACGTGCCCAGGGTAGTCAGGGCAGTGCCAAGGATGCCAACGTGCTGCGGGGCTGTGTGTGGAAGGCAGCAGTGAGGATGTGGGGGCAGGGGTGAGGATGAAGATGCAGGGGTGGCTTTTGTTTGACAGCTGAACCACCAGGCGTGTCAGACGGCTGGGCTGGGCCGGTACAGGCACACCCTGGATAGGCTCTGGTCCATGCCATCTCCAGCAGCCATGGGTGCCGAGCGCAGCCGCAGAGCCCAGCAGGGAAGGAGGGAGCAGAGCAGAGGCTGAGGAAGGCTGGGGATGCACAGGCACACAGTGAGAGGGAGAGAATGGTGGACAGGCTCAGACACTTTGCCGGGGTGCTGTGTGCTCGCTGCCCCAAAGTCCCTGCCCCATCCAACAGTCTCTTCCCCCAGCAGCCCTGCAGCCCCCAGGCAGCACCCTCCTTCCAGCCTTTTGCGCCTCTCCCTGCCTGAACATCTCCTACCTGGGGTGCTCAGGGGCACCCGAGTTTGGAGCTGAGCGTTACGGATTAGGGAACTTGTGAGTTAGAAACTTCATGAGTTGCTGGAGTGATGAATTCATTAGCTCACGTGATGTCTGGGTCTGTGTGAAGGACACTGTGCCCTTGTGCGTGACGCGTCAGTTTGTTTTCTTTCCTAATGTCCTGGTAAAGTTTGGTGCATCTTTACCACCCAGTCCACCCAGTAGCTACCCCTGGAGCCCCAGGTTCCTCCCCTGGTCCCTCCCCTATCCATCCTGCTCTTTGGACCACCCCAGCCGCC